GGCAGTGCATCAGCTCTGCTTTCTGGGGGCTGTGCCAGGGTGGCCAGTCCTGGGTCACAGCAGAGTGCTCCCACATGGTGAAGGCCCATGCCCAGGCCCACTCCTGCCCCAGCTCCTTGTCTCTTTCCTCTCTGGCAGTCCCAGCAACCCCCTTCCCCAGCTAACCTACATTCATGATCCAGGGGCCAGGAGGGGAGGTAGGGAGCAGAACCTAACGGGGGGAGACAAAAGTCTGTGTACAACCTCCAAGCAAGAGCAAAGCATTGGCTCCTAACAAAGAGGAACAGGCTCAGAAGCTTCATGGGAGCCTGAGATGTCCAGGTTTTCTATAACATTTATCTACATGTCCCTATCCCAGCATCAGGGGCCTACCTTTCTAATCAAGGCAATGACCCTGGTGTGGCAGACTTGGCAGGGCTGTAAGTTCAGTTTTCTTGGAGCTTTGGTGTTCATAATAATAATCCAGGACCTGATTCTTTCAGCTTTGTCCATCCTCCTGACTGGCTGTCAAGGAGGCTTCCGATCTCATGCTTTGCCTTTAACTGGTGATTGATCCTGGTCAACTATTCATTGTTTTCTACAAAGCATCACCAATAGCCCCCATAACAGCTCTCAAGGCCACCATTCTTATGGCTACTCTTTCCCCTAAACTTCCGAGAAGCCTATGATTATTGTATTCTTTTTCCCAGTGTTCTAACTTGATATCACCATGATGAAAGTCTCAACCCATGTCCTGTACAGCTCACCAGGCTGTCTGCCACCAGTGATGACAGTGGTCATCAGAATGCCAGCTCCCGGCTCGGCGCCTATAGCTCAACCGGCTAAGGCGCCAGCCACGTACACCTAAGGTGGCAGGTTCGAATCCCCAGCCCGGACCTGCCAAACAACAATGACGGCTGCAACCAAAAAAAAAAAATAGCCGGGCGTTGTGGCGGGCGCCTGTGGTCCCAGCTACTTGGGAGGCAGAGGCAGGAGACTCGCTTGAGCCCAGGAGTTGGAGGTTGCTGTGAGCTGTAATGCCATAGCACTCTACCCAGGGGGACAGCTTGAGGCTCTGTCTCAAAAAAAAAAAAAAAAAAAAAAAGAATGCCAGCTCCCAACTTAGAGTTAGCTTCTAAGTTTACTCTTTATAGTCTTGAGTAGAGCTGCCCTGATGTAGATTTCAATGAGCAATGACATCCCCATAAAGGAGCAAGGACAGCTGGCTTAGGCAGGGGGAGGTTGAACTGAGATGCAGTTGCAACAGGAGTCTCAGTTGATCTCAGTGGAGCTGGGGTGACCCTTTATTGATGTCCTAAATTGAAGCAAAGAGGGTTGGCACCTGTGGCTCAAAGGAGTAGGGCGCCAACCCCATATGCTGGAAGTGGTGGATTCAAACCCAGCCCTGGCCAAAAACTGCAGGAAAAAAAAAATTGAAGCAAAGAGTTCTGGGCTTTTTTTTCCCTTTTTTTTTTTTTTTTTTTTTTTGGAGAGGGGGGTTTGTTTTGTCATCCTGGCTAGAATGTTATGGCATGGTCATAGCTCACTGTGGCCTAGAACTCCTGGGTTCAAGAGATTCCTCCTGCCTCTGCCTCCCAAGTAGCTGGGACTACAGGTGTACACCATTACATCTGGCAAGATTTAAGTTTTCTACCATTTGAAGGCTAAGACTTCCTTAGATCTCCAGCACTAAGCAGACTACAATATAATAGGATGGTGATATCTAGAGCTCTGGAACTTGGAAGATTCTGCATGTGGCTGGGTTCTACAGTGTGTTATATAGAAGAATTGGGTTACTTATTAGCGTATAGAGCCATCCTAGAACCTTAAAATTCAAAAGGAACAGTGATGGTATCAGTAGTAGTATCAGTAAATCCAAGGTAGTCAGCAAGCATTGTCTCTGCTATATAAAATGTAATTACATTGTCTCATAATTTAGTAAGAGTTAGTTACTAAATTAGTTACTAGTTTTTCTTTCCTGTTGCAAAATTTCTGCTTTTCAGGTACAAAGAATCACAGAGCCCTGTGCACTGACTCCATGTAACACTCCAGCAGTCCTCACACCCCGCCTGAGCCTGCTTCTGCTTTGTGGGCAGCCTGTGTGATCAGGTCTTGGTTCTGTTGCCTGTGAAGCTAAAATCCTCAGATTTGGTCACCTTTTGTAGTCCTGACCCCTGCTGGCAGCTGCTGTATTTGTGCTATTTCTTTTTGCAGCAGACAGCATCTTATTTTTCCAAGAAGATGGCATTCCAGCAAAGTAACATATTGGCAGATCCATGAATTCTATCCTTGCAATGGTTTCTGCTTTGGGGGTGGGAGTCTGAAGTTCTCTTTCTTGAGAACTTTCATGAAATGGTCTTCACATACTGGCCAAATTGCAGCTCAGCTTACTGCAACCACTCAAAGAGCAAATTATCCTTGAAGCATAAGCATAGCCAATCTGAAGAGAGGCCAGTGCATTAACAGCTTACAGGCAAAAGGAAAACTTCCAGTAAGGCAAACTGGTCATCACCCACCATTTCTTTCACTTTTTCTTTTTTTTGAGACAGTCTCACTTGGTTGCCCTCGAAAGAGTGCTATGGTTTCACAGCTCATAGCAACCTCCAGCTCTTGGGCTTAGGCGATTCTCTTGCCGCAGCCTCCCGAGTAGCTGGGACTCTAGGCACCCGCCACAACGCCCAGCTATTTTTTTGTTACAGTTTGGCCAGGGCTGCGTTCAAATCCGCCACCCTCAGTATATGGGGTCAGCACCCTACTCACTGAGCCACAGGCGCTGCCCCACCCACCCTTTCTTATATTGGCCAAGGAAGTGCCCAAACACTTTCCTCAGTCACTAGTCTTTCCAAGTTCGGAGGCAGCTACCATTTTGCACCTTTCAGCAGTGTTATAGCCACACTGCCAGTTCCAGGCCACATCAGCTGGGTGGCCATAGGCAGCCTTATTGACAATACTGCTAACATGGCCTGGCAGTCCAACCCCAGGGTTGAACATAAAACCCCTGAGCTTGCCCTTGATTTACCTTTGGCATTTCCTAGGATTGGATAGGCCTGGTAAGCCTCCCATTGGCCAGCAGAGGTTCCAGAACAGCATAGGCCTGTGCTGATGGCTTGTAGGCCTGCTACACCACACCATAGCTGGCCCTTTACTCATTACTCATGTGTGTGCCTCTGACAAGCAGAATTCACTCACTTTTGTTCTGAAGTTTGCATTCTTTAGTGACTATATATGCTATGCATTGTCAGCCAAGGCTTCATAGGGAGTATTTCTCTTTACTGTGCCTTATATGGCAAGGCTGTGATCATTTCATATTTGTCACAGATTTACCCCCTTTTTATTATGAGTCATTACAGAAGTTTTGAGATACACAAAAATCAAGAAACAAAATCTGCATGGACAGAAAAAAATGACCTCCCCCAGCGTCACTAAGCTGAGCAAGTTAAAACTTGCACAGGTCAATCAGAAAGGACATTGCCAACTGTGTTCCTTGGAAGTGAAATAATGGACCATGACAGAGTCTCAAAACTTTCATAGTAATCTACCTAGTGCAATCTAATTCTTCTGTCATGGGACATTTTCTCACTCTTTGTCCACCCTTTTAGGAATTCTGGCTTTCCACAGGATCATCTGCTTCCAGCTCACAGGGGTCAAGAGCAGAGAAGAGCTTTGAGGTGAGAGCCCCCCTCATCCTTGCACTCCAGGCTCCATTACCTGATACCTTTTCACAGTGTGACAAGTGCCAGTCTTACACTTTGAAAGTTAAAAAACAAATCCTACCCTGAAGAAAACTAAATAGGACCCGGAAAAGAAATGCTTTGAGGGTAAACCTAACAGTTTTATTTTGTCACCCTCAGTAGGGTAAATGCTTTGAGGGTAAACCTAACAGTTTT